CTAGTTAGTAACATGGAGCTAACGGTCCAAATAAAATATAGGAACATTGCAGATAGTAACATTATTCTAAATATGATAGTCAGTTATTTTACAGCATCAGGGCGCTGACTGTAGTTCACTGAGCAACCACTGGTGGCGCTGTTAGCTACAGTTTAATGACAGTTTACATGCAGAAGCTTTAATAAAAGAAGAAAAGTTGACAACAGTGAATCATTGAGAAGCTGCTAATATGAACAAATATTAACCAACATTTCTTTGTTAGATCTATTTTTAACCTCGTTCATAGAAGACAAACAGCTGCTGCTCCGTCAGAGGAAAACATCATAAAACTTTATCGCCGTCGTTTAAGATAAAAAGCTTTATCGCCTGCCGCTGGCGGGCTGGGCGTGTCAGCAGTAAAAAGAACAATGTGTTATAATATTATTATATTTCCACAGTGAAATATTGTCATTGTTCTATAAACGTGGAGGAGCTTTACCTCGTGGCTGTTTTCTCTATACCTGTCAGCTGCTCTACAAGCCCCGCCCCCTGTCCATAATGACTCATTAATTAGAGGCTTAAACTCGTCAACAACAAGCTGCTGCAGCAAATCCAGGTCCTGCAGAGACCTGGATCCTCTGTAATCCGTCACACATGAAACACTTTACCTAAGAGACGGTGGAGGGTTGTTACGGCAGAGACTCACCTGTGGACCTTTCATACAGGTAGGCTCTCTGTGAACCTCATTATCTCTGCACTCTCAATATCACTTTATTTCACTTTATTGACGACAACCTGAAACATTAATAAAACACAATATCAGATTCAAGCATTTATTGATTTATGTTCCTGCTGATGTACGAGAGAAAACAGGAACGTTTGTTTCAGGAAGTGAAGCAGGTAGAAAAATAAATCCCATCAGAACCTGTGCAGGTCTGCAGGTTAACAGGTCTCAGTTGAGAAAGTGGGTCAGGACCCCCCAGAGGCATCTGGTCCCGTTATAGATCTTTCCAGCAGGCGTTGTTTCAGTTCACTTCTTCTGCTGCTGCTGCATATTAAAGCTTTTATTGTGAAACTGCTGCAGGAACCACAATGTAGGGTTGAGTTAGATACTGATCAATAAAAACTGTTCCTCTTCAGAAAATATTAACTATTGTTATTTAATGTGAACAGAATCAGACTTCCTGTATAATCTGGATCAATTTGGTTGTTCTATTTATTTATTCATTTATTTATTTATGCCCCTTATAGTCGACCATTAGTCAAGAAGAGTTTGCTACAACACAGCTGTTAGCTTAGCTACAAACTGTGTGAATGTGCTTCTAGTGACTGATCATTGCTGGTTAGCTCTGTTAGCTGTTAGCTCTGACTACCAGCTTGCTGTTCCTGCTGTCAATCACTGTGGTCGCTGTGGAGGCCACGCCCCCTTCAGTCTCTGTGTGTTTACATCAGCTGAGTGGGAGGAGCTACGTTAGTTTCTACTTCCTGCTGTCTGATGCTGTGACGGGGTGAAACGTTGAGCTGGAGATGTGGAGCTCAGGACGAGTTATTTTTAGTTTGACAGTTTAATCAGTTTTTCTGTAGCTGCTGTTTATAGTGAATCTGTGTCACTGACTCTATATCTACAGCTGCGTCTTTCAGAGGCTGTTCATTAAACCACTTCCTGTACACATCATGTCCATGTGTGAAACTGGTTTCAGATTGTGAACATGTGCTGGATGATGAGAGGATTACAGAGGATTAAACAGCCAGAGGTGATCACACTGTAATCTGAACAAATCAAACTCAGCAGCTGTAATGGAGCTCTGGTTCCTCTGTGCACTAATGGATGAGGTTAGCCTAGCTTAGCACAAAGACTGGAAGCAGGGGGGAACTGCTAGCCCACATTCTGTTTGATTTAAATGTGCTGTTAGCTCTGTTAGCTCTGTATACCAGCTCACTGTTCCTGCTACACTGCTGTGGTTTTTTGGTGCTACTGTGAATTCTGTTATTTTGTCTAATGGCTGCAACCTTCCAGTGAATTTGATCAATAACTGTAGTTTGCTGAGTTTCACCAAACGTTAATCCATACGTCACCAAACTACTAGAGATTTCATTCTGACTGGAACAAGTCACCTTTGATTTTCCCTCCTTGAGGTTTTAAACTTCTCTAACTGGAAGAAAACCAAATATATCTGAGAGCTGAAGAGTGAAACGTGTGTTTAGTCTTCAGTCACTCAACAAAATAACTTCAATAAATCATAGAAAGTATTTCTACATGAACAAATGTTTTTCTTAATGCATTAAACAATTGTGTTGGTCCAACTTAATTTATCTGAGTTGAGTCAATCTATGACTTAAATGTATTTGTGTTGGTCCAACTTAATTTACAGTAATAAATGATCCAACCCAACAGAATTATTTAATCCTAAAATTACAGTTTACATAAACATAGACACCATTTAATGAACATAAACACAAGAGATTAATTTATTATGAACATTATTCTGATTAAACACTTCCTGTGTCCTCAGAGTCTGTACAGTAACATCCTCTAACTCTCTGTACAATTCAATTTTATTTGTATAGCACCAATTCATAACAGAAGTTATCTCAGGACACTTTTCAAATAGCAGGTCTAGACCGAACTCCTTATAACATTAGTGACTGTAAGTACTGTTACAGAGGAGTGACTGTTACAGAGAGGTGGACTGGTAAGTTACGTAGCAGAGAGTGACTGTACAGGAGAGTGACTGTAAGTTACTGCTACAGGAGAGTGACTTGTACAGGATTTGGAAGTGGACTGTACAGAGAGTACTGGCTGTTAAAAGGGCAGTTTTCCGCCCTGCCACCAATGGTCTTGCTCATGGGGGTACTGTTGGGGTCTCTGTGAAT